ACAGGATGCCGCAACCATTGTAAATGCAGTCATTAAGCAAGTCATCACCATTGTTAAAGGAATACAGTTTCCCCCATAGTTTTTGTTTGTTGGAAGCCAGCTGGGAAAGGTGCAAATCGGGATGGTGTGATTGCAAGATGCTGCAACGGCCGTAAAACTGAGCTAGTTACCTGAATTGCCACCACATGACAATGAGGGTGGTGCAACAGCCATAGCTTTTTCAGTGCCAGTATAACTCTGAACCACCCTTAAATGAATGGTCATAAGATAAGGATTACTTGTAGCTGTATCTTTCTAGCGTGTATTTCCAAACCACAGTTTGAAGATACAAAGGCAGATATCAGCTGCTTTCGGTGGAATCTTACAACTTCTTAAAGGGTCTCCGAGTAATTCTTCTCTCCATCCCATTCTCCACGTGGAGGTGGGCTTGGTGGGAAATATGGTCCAATACATCTGTAGGACAGCAGGTTAGGGAAGGCAGCTGTAGGTAACCTCAATTTATAGCACAGCTTAGCTTAGAACAACTGGCCTTTACATATATTTTAAATGAAAGGGCAGCTATAACTTTGACACTGCTGGTGCCCAGCAAATGCTAACCACCCCCATAAAACCCATTCCAGCCATTAGGCCAGTAACCAGAATAACAGAATAACAGAGTTGGAAGAGACCTTGGAGGTCTTCTAGTAGTCCACCCCCTTCTCAAGAAACTCTGTACCCTTTCAGAAAAATGGCTGTCCAATCTCTTCTTAAAAACCTCCAATTTTAGAGCACTCACAACTTCTGGAAACAGCTGGTTCCCTTGATTAATTATTCTCACTGCCAGGAAATTTATCCTTAGTTCTAGGTTGGTTCTCTCCTTGATTAATTTCCATCCGTTGGTTCTCTCCTTGATTAATTTCCATCTTGTTCTGCCTTCAGGTGCTTTGGAGAATAGGTTGACCCCCCTCTTCTTTGTGACAGCTCCTCAAATATTGTCACCCCTAGTCTTTCTCTTTGTTAAACTGAACATACCCAGTTCCTACAACTGTTCATCTTACATTTTAGCCTCCAGCCCTTTAATCATCGTTGTTGCTCTTCTCAGCACTGTTTTAGAATCTCAACATCTTTTTTCTATTGTGATGACCAAAACTGGATGTAGTACAACAGTTCATTTAGTGACCGTTCAAAGTTACAACGCCACTGAAAAAGCGACTTATGGCCATTTTTCACACTTATGGCTGTTGTAGCGTCCCCATGCTCATGCGATCAAAATTCAGGTGCTTGGCAACTGGTTCATATTTATGACTAGCAACGTCAATAGGAAAGCTAGATTCACTTAACAAAGGTGTAACTAATTTAACAACTGCAGTGATTCACTTAACAAATGTGGCAAGAGGAATCATAATATAGGACAAAACTCATTTAACAAATTTCTCACAGCAACATAAATTTTGGGCTCAGTTGTGGTCGTAAGTTGAGGACTATCTGTATTCCAAGTGTGGTCTCACCAAGGCAGTATATAGCGGTACTTAATATTTCATGTGAACTAGATGCTATTCCTCTGTTGATGCAGCCTAGGACTGCATTGGCTTTTTCCCCCTTCTGACTATCTTAGTCAGTTGATGAAGACAATGAAATTGCTTTGGACTCTTCTTCAAATTCATTCTTCTCTCCAAAGGTGAGGATCCACATGCAGTCCTCATCTCTGTAGATGACTTATCTTCAAACATGTGTCATCTAAGGAGGTAATGAAGAAAAGGTGTAGGTTTTCAAGCTTGGTATCCATCCAGCTGAGTCAATGGAACCATGCTGGATTCCTGACATTTCTCATCCTCCTTCCAACCATATTGGTGACCCTCTTTATTGAGGTGGTGAGGACACTAGACTAGGAGGGTTTTTAGAATTTCTCCTCTGAAATAACTGCAAAGGCAAACAAGTTGTGTCAAACCGCTTTTCTGTGGCTGCCAGTAAGAATACATTTAGATATCCATTTAGACTCAGGATGCTGAATCAACTTTTTATGAACAAATTATGCCCTTTACATGGTATAGAAATATATTCCAGCTGAGTAGATGTATCAAATAAAAAATTACCTTGGTAACTTTAAGAGAACATTTTCACTCCCACATTTCTATAGAATCTGATCTGTCCATAGCCAGGAATTGTATTGTCTGATGATATGATGTAGTGGAAACAATTTTGGACTATTACAAGAGAGTGGACTGGAAGTGGGGTTAGAAAAAAAGAATCAAAATGTGTCTAATTTAAGGCTGAAATTTGATTAGCTGCCATGTTACACTGTCTTTTTAAATCTAGAGTCCTTCTTTTCATGAGCAATTAAGTTATATTTGCCCCAGTTCTCACCTAGATTTTATGCATGGCTGGGCAGAACTAATATATGTTTTAAAATAATCAGCGTTCCTATAATCATAAGAAGAAACACAGCTGGCTTTTGTACTAGGCAGTCCTGATGTAGTTCATGAAAGGAACTATATACCAGGGGTGTCAAACTGCCGGCCCACAGGCCTGATGCATCATAACAAAACCGCGCCCACCCCATTGCCGGCAATGGCAAAAAACTCGTGATACGTCGCGACACGTCACATGACATTGCGAGTTTGATACCCCTGCTGTATACTCTGGATTATTCTCCTCAAGAGAGAGAAAGTATTCTCCATTGAGAATAATAACTTTAGAGTCTTGAAATCTCTCATTTTAAATTTGAGCTTGCCCCATTCCCCCCCCCATCTCAAGTGTATTCTATTTTCATAACAATTTGCATAGCATTTTATGCACTTTTCTTGTAAAACTCCACCTGGAATAGCATACCCCTTCCAGATCAGATTGGCCCCTATTCTGCTGGACTTTTGTAAAGTGTTGAATACCCAGATTTTGGTGGTCCAGGTGGTTAGATCACCCACTGAGTGGGTTTTGTTAGGCTTGTTTTGTTGGGCTTGGATTCTGATGACCATTGTTAGTTTTTCATTCTTTGGTAATATTGTTATTATTGTTTTAACATTACTCATGACAAGGGCAGCCATATAAATAGACTTAATAAATAAAATACATGTCCCTAATATATTTTTTTTACAAAATGTTTTACTTATATAAAATATTTTTGTATGCTTGTTCACCAATGTGTTCATTTTTTTTTAAATTCCTTACCAAGTTAGTTTCTGAGTTGGGATCAAAAAAACCCAAGCAGTTGTAAGAATTAAGTTATTTAATATTTCATCCAAGAGCAATGACAAGCTGTTAGGTCAGTGGCCACAAAGACCCCCCCCCATCCAGCATAGGTTACATACATTACAATCAAACCTCCTATAGAATATCACTCTCTTATACTGACAGCCATTTCCCATCTCAGTATCATTTCATATATGGAACTTCCTTCTCTATCAAGGCCTCTAACGTTCCTAAGAATACAATTATCTAAAACAAGGGTATCCAACCTTGGCAACTTTAAAACCTGTGGTCTTCAATTCCCGGAATGGATAATTTATTAGAATATTTCATAGAATATAAACTATTTTATAGAGGAACATTTTAATAGAGCATTTACATTTTTATTAAGACTCTGAAACCTTGTTTTATTTTAAGATTTTGTTGGCATTCTCCATTGTTCCCCAGGCTTTGAAAGTAGCTTATTTTCAAGGAACTTAAATAAATTGTATATTCTGAGGATACCTTCTCTGCAGATCAGGTTATCCAATTCTGGCAGCTTTAAGACTTTAAGATTTATAAGATCTGATCTACACAGAAGATATTCTCAGAATATATCTTATTTCAGTTCCTTGAAAGTAAGCTACTTTTAAGGCTTGGGAACAATGGAGAATGCCAACAAAATCTTAAAATAAAACATGGTTTCAGAGTATTAATAAAAATATAAATGCTCTATTAAAATGTTCCAATACTATATTTTATAAAATATTCTAATGAATTGTCCATTTATTCCACCTTTTTCAAACTACATTTTCCTGTACATTTTCTTGTTTCAGATGTTCTGAAACATCACGTTTCAGAATCTGGAGAAATACAACACTGATTGCTAAGCTTCAACATTTGCCATTGACTTTGATGGAAATGCATATTTCAGATTAATTCTACAGAGGAATTATTGAGTTTGTCATTTGTACTTCTATAATTGTCTGGTTATAGTTAGGACCGTAGGAAAAAAAACTATTGCAGCCAGCCTGCCTTCCATTGAGGACCTGTATATTACATGAGTCAGAAAGGAGGGCTGAGAAGCTTTCTAAAGACCCCTCAAATCCTGGACATAAACTGTTTCAACTCCTTTTGGGACACCACTATAGAGCATTGCATGCCAAAACAAATGGGCTCAGAGACCTTTTTTTTTTCTTGTGCCATCACTCTGCTGAACACTCAATTTCCACAGTTCTGTCTTATGTCTAAATATATTACCCATGTAGTATGGCTGTATTACTTTTATCCTTCTCATCTGTTCCATTACTTTCCCTATTGGTATCGTTTTTCTGATTATTATCCTTTGTTCTTATTATTATTACTTGTTGTTCTGCATGTTCATTAAGAGCTTATGCACTGGACGCAAATTCCTTGCATGTCTAATTACACTTGGCCAATAAAGCTATTCTATTCTATTCTATTCTATTCTATTCTATTCTATTCTATTCTATTCTATTCCATTCCATTCCATTCCACTCCACTCCACTCCACTCCACTCCTCCATTCCATTCCATTCCATTCCATAAGAATGTCCATACAAATTCACATTCAGTATTAACTTCTACACATGCTGATTAAGACACAAGGACTGTTAAATGTAATAGAACTCTTAAGTAAGTTTGAAAATAATTGCTGCTTCAGGAAGAACTGTTCACCCAGTCTCATATGTCTTATTTGGCCTACAGAACTTATTTTTTCTTGTCTTAGAATTTTAACACAGATTTTTTTTTTTTTAAAAAAAATGTAGTTAGCAAGGGAGCTACACACTTCCCATCCATTTTCACGAATTCTTATTTTTACTTTACTTCCTTTCTCAGAGTGAATTGGATGACACTCAGATTCAGTTGGGTGGAGATGACGTGGACTTGCCAGAAGACCTCCAGAAGATGGTAGCAGAGGATCAAGAAGAAGAAGAAGACAAAGATACTTTTTTAGGACAGCTTCAGAACATCCAGAATATGGACATGGATGCTATCAAAGAAAAAGTCCAAGCGACTTTCACTGATATTAAGCAGTCCGCTGAACAAAAATGTTCTGTAATGTAGTGAAGAAATTTCACAAGACCTAGGTACAAATGTCCACAGAAATGGATGACTTGTGGGACAACAGCAACAATTGGTGCTGCTGCTTACTCATCACACGCTCCCTCTTTATGAGAAGTGGTGTTTTGTTTTGTTTTTTCCAGACAACATTAAAAATGGCCATTGAGAGAAGCCATGATGGTGATAATTGATTCCAATTTTGTAGATTATTATCCATTCCTATACCCCTTTGCTCACATACTTATACTGGGTGTAGTAACACTTGCAAATACTTTGCACTAATATATAGCATTTCAAGCATCAAATCCAGAAAGTACCTTTGTTACTTTGATGCAGCTAAACAAGTATCATAATGAACAAAATATTCTTCCACAAGCACTCAAAGATTGCATTTTACTTATAAGATACAAGAACCATTTTTCTGAGGGGTGTGGTGTGTGTGTGTGCTCACGCACGTGTTTCTACATGCGTCTGCATGTGCGTCTGTGTGTATGGTTTTGTGAGCATCCATTTGCGGCTAGGAACTAAAAGCAGTAAAAGTGAATTTAATTAAAATTAAGGAATAGACAGTGAAAATTACTATAATGACAAGTACGGTAATAAAAATATTTTTTTCTCTTATTAGTGAATTGATTATCTGATTATATACAGTCTTCACACTTTTAAAAATTCTTATGCCTGAATTCTATAGGGTTCATTCCCAAGTAACTTCATATTTGTAGTTGTTGTACAATTATTTTTCCCTTAAATTAAAAAACAAAAACCATGAATACTTATATTTCCAGTATCCATTTCCAGCATTTTTTTTAGATCCCTTTCTGTAGAATTCTCTTTGGGAAGAGGAATTTTCCTACCCAAACATTAATATATTAATTGTTATGTGTTTCCCTCCTTCCTCAAGATCTCAGTTTCTGTGTTATTTTAAATAGATTATATTGTTGTTTTTAATCCATGTAAGACCACCCAGAGTGGGCCCTTGGAAAAATTCCATTCCGTTTTATTAAGGGAAGAAAATGTTATATATGAAAATAACATATTAGATTGCAAAATATTAGATTGTTTTCTATTTCTATAACTTCATTGACACAAGCTCTCTCAATTCAAGCAATTTTGAAGACCAAAATTCAAAAACTTCCATCAAAGATTTTTCTCCAATTTTTTCTTAATGAGTTTATTGTCCTCTATCTCCCTCTAGTGTCAAACATTCAAGGTTCATTATCATACTTCCTCTTTAAAAGAAAAAAACCCAAACTATCACCATTTCCCACAGGAGGAATTCTTCTAATTTAAAACTACAATTCCAAATCCATCTAAATTTAATCCACAGTTAACTTTCTAAAAATCCATATTCTAAGCACCCTTTTTCTGTTTAATTTAAAAAATATATTTTTTTCCAGAAATTTTAAAATTGTGTTTAAAATTCTTTCTCCAAGGAGAAGGCAACCCGTCCAATGTATACAGTAAGAATTGCCATTTTGAAGGGTCCTAATGTTTCCTGTTCCATAAAAGAAATACTGAAAAAGTGATTAAGAAATTAAACTTGGTTGAGTTTTATGTCTTTAAAAGGCTACATTACAAATGTGAGCCTGATGATATCCCTTAGCTCCCAGCCATTCAACTTATAAGTCAGTTACAAAACAATGATTCCTGTAATCTACTCACAAGAAACAGCTGCCCAAAGTCATATTTAGGTTATCCCAATGATCTCTCCTTCCTCCAAAAAGATTTTGCCAATACAGATCAAGCATCTAGCTGCAGTTTTCTTCATAATCACTGTCCCACTGCCACAGGATGTCAACTTGCCATAGTACTCACCAGAAATTCAAAAATACACTACAGGCTAATGGCAAATCTAGACAGCGTACTAAAAAGCAGAGACATCACCCTGCCAACAAAAGTGCGTATAGTCAAGGCCATGGTTTCCCCAGTTGCAATGTAGGGCTGTGAAAGTTGGACCATAAGAAAGGCTGAGCGCCAAAGAATTGAGGTCTTTGAACTATGATGCTGGAGAAGACTCTTGCGAGTCCCCTGGACTGTAAGGCAATCCAACCGGTCAGTCCTAGAGGAGATCAACCCTGACTGCTCTTTAGAAGGCCAGACCCTGAAGTTGAAACTCAAGTACTTTGGCCACCTAATGAGAAGGAAGGACTCCCTGGAGAAGAGCTTAATGGTGGGAAAGATTGATGGCAATAGAAGAAGGGGACGACAGAGAATGAGGTGGCTGGATGGAGTCATTGAAACAGTAGGCATGAGCTTAAATGGACTCCAGAAGATGATAGAGGACAGGAAGGCCTGGAGGAACGTCATCCATGGGGTCACGATCGGTCAGACACGACTTCGCAACTAACAACAATAACAACGATTTTGGGTGCTTTGACAAAATAGCAGACCCAATGGATGTAGCCATTCATTTAGTAGAATATAATTTTGCCACCTTCCTAGACTCATTAATCTCTCCTAGTGCCAGCTTACCTTTGTGCTTCATTGTTTTCTGGAAAGCTAATGACTCTTCCAAACAAGGCTGAATTACAACAATTCACCATTTTAATATTTGAGAATATTTACAGGGGTTTATATACGTCAGTGCAAATGATGGTGGTAAAGTCTAGCTCGCCTCTTTTTTTCTTTTTTCTTTACAAGATATTCAAGTTAAGTGAATGAGGTGTTCTGGCACATAAAAGTGGATGGCTTCCCCTTCTGGAAACATGAATTCCTAGATGATCACAATTCAATTGTTGTTACTGGCAAGATCTCTTAACATTCTTTCAAAAACTGCCATTCTCAATAAAATCAATACTTGAATGAATATTATTAGAGTAGATACATTTTAAAACATCATTGGTTTTATTTCTATGGTCATTAAATGGTTGGAGGTTTTTTTTTTAATCTTATTGTTAATTTGCTTCAAACACTGGGTGGGAGATGAATTCAGTATTTTAAATAAGACAACATAAATGTGTGACGTGGTAGTCCCTTGCTGTAAAACAGCCATTTTTACTTAATTAAACCAACTTTCATTCCTCAAACAGGCATAAAAAAGGTAAAACAGTAAAGTTGTTGTTGATGGTGGCCCTGTGATAGAATCCTTATCCTGCTTGATATGCATCGCAGGTGCAACCAATGTAAAAAAAGAGCTTTCATTATGTGATAATGGTCACCATCTCAACTTTTTTGATGACCCTAACAAACAGGCCACCACCTTTTATCGTCATCTGCACATTTTAAAATTGATTCCCTTTATTTCCCCATCATCAATAAACAGTATCTCCAGCCACAGGATTTCATCTGTTTGGTCTCATTTTGGGAGCCTTGTCTTTATAGCCTGGGGTGGTATGGTGGCTCAATGGTTAAGATGCTGCGCTTGTTGGCTGGAAAGCCGGCAACCCAAGTTTGAGACCAAGTGCCATTTGACAGGATGAGCTCCTGTTATTTTCTCCAGCTCCTGAGAATCTAGCAGTTCGAAAGCACGCAAATGCGAGTAGATAAATAGGTACCACTTGATGGGAAAGTAACAGCATTCCTTGATGTCACACTGACCAATGTGACCGCATAAATGTCTTCGGTGTTGGCTCAATGGTGTTGAAACAGAGATGAACACCGCCTCCTATAGTTGGCAACGACTAGCAGAGTAAAATCCCAGGGACTTCTTTACCTTATCCTTTATAGCAGTGATGGCGAACCTTTTAGAGACCGAGTGCCCAAACTGCAACCCAAAACCCACTTATGTATCGTTGGGTGCCAGGTGGGTGTGGCCCATTGGGTGGGCATGGCTGCGGTGGTAATGGCAGACTGGGTGGGAGTAAAAAGTTCAGTCAATCAATTCCAACTTTGCAAGATCTTTTTTTTTTCCCGTGAGAAGTTGAAATTGATTGATTGATTGAACCTTTTTTTTTTTTGCACATAGCAGCGGAGGCCTAAAGTGAAAATTTTTTATAAAACCCAGCTGAAGGCCTAGGACTGGGGCGACGGTGCGCGTGCCCACAGAGATGGCTTTGCGTGCCACCTGTGGCATACGTGTCATAGGTTCGCCACCATGGCTTTATAGCCTTATGCCATATTGGCATATTTATCATCCATATAACTTATTATTCTTATAATAACATTTTTATAATTATAATTACATGACATATAATTATGTAACTTAATATCACTGTGATATCAATTTATTTACTAATACAATAATACATATCATATAATTTTATATTAATTTATTATATTAGTCATAATCAAAAAGTCAATAAAAGTATATAAAAACTATTGTTAAAGTATTTAAAACATAGAAGGAAAATGCTATGAAGAGGAAGCTGGTTGCTGGTGGTCTTTGGAAGCCTCAAGTCAATGTAGTGCTTATTGCCCTTGTAGCTTGTGACCTTCTCTGTGATATTTTGGGGTCCTGGACTTCTGACCGAAGACCCAGCTTAAGTTGCATCCTCGTGCATCAACTGCTGATCTAATAATATGCAAAGGGAACTACTTTGGGTTTGACGTTCTGAATAGCAAATGTCTGCAAATAGGCCAACATGAAAGACTGTTTTTCCACCCTAGAAAAATGGTGTTCCGGCAAAACTGTCCATCTTACATGCTTTCTAGAGGTTTACTCGACAAAGGTGAAGTTTCAGTTCTGAAACAAGGTGAGTCCCCAAGGGATTAAAAGACAGCATAATCAGGACTGGCATCTTAAGCAATTCTAATCCATTACAGTTGTTTCCTTGAAAGGTGAAATCAAGGCATCAAATGAGAGAAAAGAAAGACGCAGCAGCAGAAAGTAAATTGCCTCTGAAAACATCCCAGTCTGGAGATCAAAGACTAGCAGGGAAAAACAGGGGATTGAAAAGAGAGTCTGTCTCTGTCTTGTGTTTCTCTCTCTGCCACCTTTGTTTGATGGTAGGAACAGCATCCTCTCCATTTGAAGAGGATATTTTGCTTTCTTGACTTGCCCAGCACTACCCTGATTTTTTTTATCTCATCCTATACTATACAGCTAGTCCTCGACCTACGACCACAATTGAATCCCAAATTTCTGTTGCTAAGTGAAACATTTGTTAAGTGAATTTTGCCCCACTTTACAACCTTTCTTTCCACATTTGCTAAGTGAATCATGGCAGCTGTTAAGTTAGGAACCCAACTGTTAAGTGAATCCGGCTTCCCCATTGATTTTGCTTGTCAGAAGGTTGCAAAAGGTGATCACATGACGCCGGGAATACAGCAACCGTCATAAATATAAATCAGTTGCCAAGCATCCAAATTTTGCTCACGTGACCACGTGGATGCTGCAATGGTCTTAAGTGTGAAAAATGGTCATAAGTCACTTTTTTCACTGCTGTTGTAACAGTCACTAAATGAACTGTTGTAAGTCAAGAATTACCTGTATAGCAATAGCACTTAGCCTTATATACTGCTTCACAGTGCTTTACAGCCCTCTCTAAGCAGTTTACAGAGTCAGCCTATTGCCCCCAACAATCTGGGTCCTCATTTTACCAACCTCAGAAAGATGGAAGGCTGAATCAACTTGAGTTGGCGAGAATCGAACTGCTGACAGCTGGCAGTCAACAGAAGTAGCCTGCAGTACTGCATTCTAGCCACTGCGCCACCAAGGCTCTTATAGCAACTTCTCTCATGCC